CCTGCTGAAGTAGAAGCTCTCGGGTGGGTTTTAGTACAGTCATTTTCTGGAAACCGGCTTATCTGGAATTCTGGCTGCATGTTGGAGAAAAGCGGGGAGGCTTCTGGGAGAAGCTATGAAAATGCAGGCTGGCAAACATACTTGAGCATTGGACTAAAAACTGTGGAGAGTACTTGATCACAGTCTAAAATTGCTTAGTGTTCTTACTAAAGGGCTGTTTTTTCCAGCAGGGAAATATATTACAGGAACTGGCAAAATTGGAAATGATTGCCCATGGTTAAAAATATGGTCTAACTATTAAACCTCTTAGCTGTTAAAGATACAGTAGTTTCACTGTTACTTGAGAGCTTTAACTAAATATTTGGCTATCCATCTTAATGAAATGTCCCAGCTCAGCCCCAAGAATTAGCGTGTGAAATTCTCCCGGGCTGCGTTACCGGAGTGTACAGACCAAGTGATCATTATAGTCCTGCCATGAAAAGCACTTAATCTAAAGTAGGTGCTAGTTGGTTGCTGCAGAACATCATAATTGTCAAAAATGAGTGATTCATCCCGTGTGGACTTGGCCCATGAGCCCAGGGGAGTGCAGCGCTGGAAGAGAAACTTCCCGAGCTCAGGGGGCAGCCTGTGTCTGTGGCCGGGGCGGGAGGAGAGGCAAGAGGTGAATTTAAGTGCTATTTCATAATATGGAGCATGAGAGGCCAAAGGTGGGGGGGAGGGGGCTTTTGCTATTGCTTTTAATAATTTCTGCAGCTGCTACTGCTTTCTGTACTGCACCTTACCCGTTGTGCCGTCATACCAGCCAGGAGCATTTGTGAGAGCTGGAGTTGCAGTAAGCAGAAGGTTATTCAGCAGGGAATGCTTAACATCATCTGAAAAAACTGTTTTTCTCTGTCCTTGCAGAAAGGGGTTCAGAAGACATCGACATTCTCCCTAACGGGCTGGCCTTCATCAGCTCCGTAAGTGTCTGCGCGCCTCCCTGTGCAGGGCTCGCCTGATTTGTTGCCTACAGAAGCAACAGATGGAAATTGCCAGACGGACTCTTTTCCTGCAAGCGTGGCTCCTGAGCGATGGCGCAGGCTTGCCTGAGTCAGCTTAACCAGCATTTCCCCCTCTTTGAGCAAGTGCCTTTTTCAACTTAGAAATGGTGGTAGTGGTGGTGGCGGCTCCAACACGTGTATCCTACTGCACTTGCTTATCTCCCTGTGTAACCTTGAATTTCTCTCATGCTGCTTACTTGACATGCTGAAATGACAAACATCTCCCTTGTTAAAAATGAGTGTAAATTTCTTATCTTAAAAAAATCAGATTTTGTGTGTTGATTTTGCTGTTCCTGTGGGTTCGTTGGTTTGTTTGTTTTGGCCTTTAGGACTTATGTTTTCAAGCTTTTCTTTGCCCTCAAGAGGGCTAAGAATTGCTTTCTAAAACAAAAGCTGCTGTTTTCATTCATGTGCTCTAGGGACATCAAGAGAACAGTAACATGGCAAAATTCGTGACGGAAATCGTAAGCTGTCACACTGCCGCTGTTCACCATGACTTTACCGTGTCTCTGTTGGATGCATTTAATTGTGTTGGGCTTCCAGTTTTTCCCCCCAGTGTGATTGTTCAAAGGGTGATTTCAAACAGTCACGGAAAATACGAGGGGAGGGTAAAGGTGTTCCCTCAGCGTGGTTTTGCAGGGCCGAAGTCAGCTGGGATGAGCCATGCAGCCCGGAGCCGCAGGATCGCGGGGAGCCTCGTGCAGGGCGAAGGGCTGGGGGGAAGCTGGTCATTGCTGTGGCATCGAAAGCAGGGTGGGTTTTTGGTGTCTTCCTGCACGTATCAGTCCCTTCCCTGGTGCTGGTGCTCAGCAGAGTCTCTCCAAGATGAGCTTGTAGCCTACGTTGGCAGAGGCTGAACAGTGAAGGCTTGTTAAGCTGCTTTGGGGAAGAAAGGAGGGATTTTGGTAGTGGGACTTGGCCCATATGCAGCCGCCTGCCTCGTCTCCCCATCCTTCCCTGTCTCCCCAGGAAGGAGGTTGGCGCAGGGTGATGGGGAGGGCAACTTGATCGGGAGCCTGACACGGCTGGTAGGTGATGCCACGTGCCCAGGAGCACAGCTCCTCACGGCCTTGGTGTGGCTGGCACCCACTGCACTGTGAATTGGGGGGTTGCTGGGGAGAACAGAGCGTGTCCCTTCTCTGCCTGCTTTGGGGCACAGCAGGCTGACGCCGGAGAGATCCTGGTGCGTGCTTGCAAGCCTCAGCAAGGCTTCACCTTTTTCAACCTTGTTATGCTCCTCTTACCTTTCTCCCAGGCTGATCTTACTACGTTGTGATTTCACAGGGTTTGAAATATCCAGGAATGCACAGCTTTGTACCAGACAAGCCAGGTGAAATATTTTTGATGGATTTGAATGAAGAAAATCCAAGAGCAGTTGAACTGCGAATCAGCCGTGGGTTTGATCTGGCATCGTTTAGCCCTCATGGGATGAGCACTTATGTAGATGAAGGTAAAGAGACCTTTGATTGGAAATGGTAGCAAATCTCAACCTAGAGAGCGCAAGCAGAAAGGCCTTCGCTACCTTGCGATGCACTCCCAATAGCCTGCACTTGGAGGGAGAGAAAAAGGTTTTCGGGCAGAAAGGTGTTCCATAAATTGAAAGGAAAGAAAACACAGGAAATGTTTCAAGTGTTGAAACCACCTCAAGTTTATTTTAGCCACTTACCTCTGTCTCACCCTTGAGCTCAAGGATTTTCAAGAGACGTGCATGACAGTCAAGTAGTGACCAGAACGGGGACTGCTGTGGCTAAAGGGTACTTTGTGGCCAAGAGATGAGCAACTAATGTTCTCCCATGGAAGGCTATTACCATCTCCTTCCTCTCTCTTCCCTCTGTCCTTTTGCTGAGGTTTTAGCAAGGCCACCAGAAGGCCTCCTTCCCAGCCAGCGGTGGCTATCGCATGCAACTAGGCACTAGAGTGAGTCTGACTGCAGCTCTCGTCAACTTGCGTGCAAAGTTGGAGCCTTATTTTCTTCCTCTCTTTTCTGAAATAGTAAACATTTATTTTACATGGCAGTTGTCAGGAGGGAGAAAGGCCAAACGAGGGCTGGGGATCTGGATTCTGATTGCATTGACGTCCTGCTGTATGGAGCGGCAGATTTGTGGTACTTCGTCCTTCTGCCTCTGAAAAGCCATGAGCCAAAAGGTGCTCTGTAACGAGGCTGCTTCAGAGCTGTGGATGCTTAGACGTTCAAGCTGTTGCAGAGACCTAGTGAAATTCAGCTGTTTCCTTTTCTTTCTTTTAAGATGACTCTGTGTACCTCTTTGTTGTGAATCATCCGCATCAGAAGAGCACAGTAGAAGTGTTTAAATTTTCAGAAGATGACAATTCTCTTGTACACCTGAAAACCGTTCGACATGACCTTCTGTCAAGGTATTGGATTCAAATACAGCCTTCCCCCATCTAAGAATAGGATTCTTGTGGTAAAATCCAAAGTAAGATAATTTTATCTTTAGGGTAATATTAATAAGAGAGCTTTTCTCTTTCACATGGCTTTTCTGTTTCTCTCATTAATTAATTCTTATTTGTGTAATCAAGTGCTGTGTTTTTCCAATGAGCAATTTTAGTAGTTGTGAAATATCACTAAATCAGTCTTAAACTCTGCGGATTGATGCCAGTGAATTATTGTAGTTTGGCATCCTTTTCTCCTCCTCTCGTGTAACCCAGTTCACTGCATATAGGAATCTTCAGATGTTCTGTTATCCTCAATTTGCTGCACTGTAGAAAACGTATATTATTAGCTTTTTCTTTTTTTGCTACCTACAACATTTTCTTGGTCTATGCTGCTGCAAAATGATTGCAATATGAAGGGAGCTTGAAAAAGTAAGTTGTCACAACTCCTAGCAGTTCTCTGTTTTCCAGCTGAGTGTAATAGAGAGAGCAGAAGAACTCTGTGGGCTTGTAAACAGGTAGCCAAATCACTGATTAAAGCCCCATGGTCTTGTTCAAGTCTCAGCACTTTATAGTTCTGCCCTGTGTAAAACAAAATGGAAGTAACAGTGGTCTAAATAACACAGTGTGTATCTGAAATGCCATCTGTAATTGCAGCACCTTTATAACTATTGGGTAACTGTATCCTGACTGGATTCTGGGCAATCCTGCAAAACTTTTTCGTAACTCTAATTTAATTCTTTTCTTATTTCCCACTCTCTCTCTCTCTCTCTCTCTCTCTCTCTCTCTCTCTCTCTCTCTTTTCTTTTTTTAGTGTGAATGATATAGTAGCTGTGGGACCAGACAGCTTCTATGCAACCAATGACCACTACTTCTTTGACTTCATCTTGATATTCTTGGAGATGTTCTTGGGTTTAACTTGGTCAAATGTTGTTTACTACAGTCCACAAGAAGTTAAAGAAGTAGCAGCTGGGTTTTATTCAGCCAATGGAATTAATATGTCACCCGATGGAAAGTAAGTTTCTCCTGGCCTCTGGCTTTGTTGGATCACATGAAAGAATCCTGAAATCCTAATTTGTACTTGCAATTCCTCTATGGTTAAAGCGTCTAAAGGCTCGTGTAAAAGCTCACGTAAGGCAAGGTGCTACCTGAAAATATAAGCAATACGAAGTGTTTGTAGAGCAAAAGTAAAATGTTTCTCTCTCTAACTATAGGCAATGTTTTCTGCTTTATGTCGTGTTTTATGTGCAGTAATATCAAAGGTTGTTGCATTTTAACTGGCTGATAAAGAAGTTTGTATATATTGCTTGCAAGGAGCAGTGGTAAGCATTTCTTCTGAAAGTGGGGAATGCTCTACAGTCTTAAAGTCTGTACGAGTGCATTAACTAGTTATGGGGTTTAGACAGGTGATCTTTAAAAAAAAAAAAAAGAAGAAGAAGAAAGTATATTTGTGTGCCTAATGATCCAGGGCCAGTTTCACACGTGTTGTAAGGGAAGAACGACATGGCAGGAAACTACATTAGTGCCTCAGCAGGTTGGCTTCAGTTCAGCGCCCCTAGGCCTGCTTTAAATTTCTCTTGCCGTGTAGGAGTTGTTGGTTGGAATTCCTCGTAGAAAGAGCTGGGCTTACACATGGGAAACTGACGGTTTGTGGTATCTGCTTACCTATATACCTTACTAAGAGGTGCTTTCTTTTGAAGGTACATATATGTTGCAGATATATTTGATCATAATGTCCATGTTATGGAAAAACATGCTAACTGGAATTTAACCCATGTGAAGGTAAGGTGCTGCTGTTTCAAAAGAGTCATGTGCGAATTAGCGGGTTAGTCCCCACGTACGCTTCAGATCCCCCCCTGCTCACGCATGACGTTGTGCTTTGCAATGGCTCCTGCTGCGGACTTGCGGAGATGTTGCGCTCCCCTGACAGAGCTTCGGGTCTTTGGCCGTCACACCAGCAGCCAGACTGGGATCCCGAGTGGGAGTCTCGTTCTCTCAGTGCGGGTGAAGCTGCAAAGCACAGAAGTAACGAACGTGAACATAGGTGTGAAAGCAGCCACAGGGCAGAGCTTGGAGCAGCAAGTGGGTTTCACATGGCGTGGAGGAGAGCAGAAAGTGTACGGTGAAAAATAAAAACAGCCCTGGTGGGGGGAATAATGAGAAACATTTCTTCAGTTAAAGAAGGGTTTTGGATAAGTCTATTGATAATGACTGAAAATACAATAGTGTTGTATTAGCTTCCAGGACTTCCGATAGCTCTAACTTCTCTGTTTGTTTTGTTTTTCTTCTGTGTTGGGTAGACGCTGCAGTTGGATACTCTTCTCGATAACTTATCTATTGATCCTCACACTGGAGACATCTGGACGGGATGTCATCCCAATGGGATGAAGCTGATCTACTACAGTCCTGAAAATCTCCCTGCCTCTGAGGTGTGTTCTGGGAGACTTTACTGGTCTCTTGGATCTGTCTGTCCCAGAAAATTGCATTGTTCAACTTATCCTGGCATAACCTAACTGATGCCTGACCAGCCTTTGTGAAAGCAAAGACCTCCCTGTCACCCAGCTTACGGCTTCTGGTCTCATATGGAAAACGTGAACAGTACCTACCCAGCTAACAAACACCTATTCAGTTGCTTAGGAGACAAAAGCATAATTTCCATTTAGCAGTTCAGTCATTGTGGATTCCTTACGCTGCGATCTGTGCAGCTGTGGCTGCACAATCAGATTTTGATGAACTGTGTTAATTACTGAGCCAGCATCTCTTTGCAAAACAAAAATATTGACTGAGTGCAAAGCAAGATCAGAGATGTTCTCACCCTGAAGATTTAGTTGTGCAGGTCTAGCTCTGTCGTAGGTGACACTAATTCTTTTTTTCCTTTTGAAATCAAGGAGGAACTTGCATTATAGCGCTCGCTGTTGCGCGGGCAGGGGACTGATTAGCATTCATTTGATTTTAGTGGTGTATTAAACTTTCCATGAGACACTTGTCAAAGTTACCATGTTTAAAAACAGTAGATTTCTAAAATCAGGCAGTTGTTTACTCTCTCTGGAAAAGGTATGAAAACAAGTAGATATTAGGCAACTTTTAGCTTGGAAAAAATGTGCACATCCCTAACACTGGGGTTGACTGCTTTACTTAGTCGGGTGGATTCTCTGTTGCATAAATACTTTAAAAAAAAAAAAAAAAGTCAGTCTTCATGGACCATGCTTCACTGAATAGGTGGCCCTATCACGGGAATCCCTTGGTGAAACTGTGGCACTTATCAGCAGCTTATCAATCTAAATAATGTGTTTAAATTAGCGTACTGCTGTTCCATCTGTGGGAAATGTTTGTGCGCAGCAGTCTCAGTGGGCATATTCTCCCTTCCCCCCGCAGGTGCTTCGTATCCAGAACATCCTCTCGGAGAAGCCTACGGTGACGCGCGTGTACGCCGACAACGGCTCAGTGCTGCAAGGGAGCTCAGTGGCGGCGGTCTACGAGGGAAAGCTGTTGATTGGCACAGTGTTTCACAGAGCGCTGTACTGCAAGCTATAGCCTGGTTCAGGTGAGATTTGTTGCAGCGGAAAGGGTTTAATTCCATGCGAACTCACTTAGTTTCTGCTAAATTTGCTAATTACAAGACTCTTCCAATAAACGTTAACCAGAGCCATGGAAATGTATTTTAGCCTTCCTCTCCAAAAGGGAAATGAGTTTTATGCAATAGTAAAGGAAATAATAGAATTTAAGGTGAGACATTAGAGCTTCTTTCTTTAAGGTGGATGACCCACTGTCAGAAACAAAGGGTAAACTTGAAGTTCAAATTGCGATTACAAATAGCTGAAACTGTCAGACTTGGAATTATCCACTGTGACTGGATCTCTGCTTTTTTTTTTTTTTCTTGGAGAAAATTGGTTTTCTACATGAGAATTGCTAACTGCACGTCTGATGCCCTTTCCTGTCTCTGATGCTTGGGCTTTCCCAAGGATTGTGCCAGGGGTTCTTTTTCTAAACCTTCCTGCCAGCTTCCCTTAACGCTGCAGGACACAGTGGAAGGAGAATTAATGTTATTTCAGTCCCATTTCTTTTCGCTCCCCTTTTAAAGCCATTAAAATAGCTTACATTTAAGTGTTTTAAAAGATTAAAGATGTTAGTTTAGTTTCATAAACCTTTCTGAAGAGGAAGAATCATTTTGGGAATGATTTCTGAATAAGTCTTCCAAAGGGAGTTTAAAAAAGCCTTTTTATCTTGAAGGGTGGGAAGCACCTCCCGAATATCTTCAGTGAAAAGCGTATTAGCAATTATTGTGCTCTGTTGCAGCAAGGGGAACGTCTGTGGGTGCTTTGCTGCAGTGACTACCTGCGCGTGTGGTTCATGCGCCTTCAGTGTCTAATTTCAACTCTGTATGGAGCTGATTGCAGCTGTGTTTCTGTGCAGAAAGCGTCTAATTCACGTCACCTTTATGCCTAGGGAGTTACTGGTAACACTGTATTGTATAGCGTTAAAAGACCTATCCAGGTTTCCATCAAATGTTATTTTTACAATGGTGTCAGTTAGTATCACTGCCAATAAACTGACTTAAGTGTCCTTCCAAGTTGGAAGTCAGGGTTGTGCTTCACAGCATGACGCTGGTCTTGCAGGAACCTCTGCTTTAACTACACTTAATTTTGTGCCTGTGGAGCGAGTGCCTCCTTCATGAGGATGGGTGTCCTCACTGCAGGGCAGTCCCTGCGGCTCTTTCTGTCCTCCCGCCGCAGACCCCTGTTCCGGTTTCGTGCAAGATGTTGACTTGCAGCAAACGGTGCTGTATGACCCGTGCCTGCTCTGGCGCCGGGGGTGTTGCTGCGCTTCCTGCGAGTGCTGGTGCCGTCGCTCCTTGCCGGCTCGGCTCAGCCTCTGACCAGTTTTACCAGCCAGAGTGCCCCACGTGCCGGTAGTTTCTCCTTCTGGGGAGGCAGGCTGTGAAACCCGCTGTGTTGCAGAGCTAGTGCAGCCCTCAGCTGATTCGGGAGGGTATTTCCTCGCTGCTATTCTTGCACCGCTGCGTGGAGAAGAAAAGGCAGGCTGGGCATGCAAGTGCAGACTCAGGCGCTGAAAGAGCTAGTCCCTGGGTGCTCCTTGCTAGTCTGGCTTTGCTGTTGCCTGCTGCAGCCTGCTTCCCCACCAGCCGCCGCCGCTGCCGCCAAGCTGGCGAGCGCTGTGCGGGGAGGTCGGTAGGCCCAAAACATGGGACCTCTTCTGAGATGATAGTGCAAATAATCTGGTCTGTAGCAGCCCCAACACCAAGGTGGGACCCAGTGTATGAGCTAGCCTTTGCCTGTCTTCGGGTTTTGCAGTCCTGGCTGAGAGGAAGCGCTGCTGTGGGATGAGAGTTGGGTAGGCCGTGGCCGTGAGCAGTACGGCTGGGTGCTGACAGCTCCTGGCTCCTGTGCCTTTCCTTGCCAAGACAGTCAACCTAATACCTTTCACCCCCTGCTATAAACATAACCCATGGAGTTGCTGTTCCTTCTTGGAGGCAAGCAGGGCAACGCTACAGAGCGCAGAGGCTGCGCTCAGGATTGGGCTTATGGGAGTGCTGTTCCCTGTCCTCCGCAGAGCTGCCCTGGGTGGTACTGCATTGCCTGGTGCGCCCCGAGGACGTCTGCTGCAGGCTTAGCCAGCAGAGAGGCTCTTGTCTAAGGCATGCTGCTGAGTGCAAGACGTTGTGTGGGGCGTGAGCACAGGGCTGCTGCCGCCAGGCCAGCGTGGTGGCTTGCTGCTGTGCCCTGCCTCACGCCGGGGCTTCCCAGCCCTGCAGCAAGAGCAGTTGCCTGGATTCGTGGTGTTTGGTATGCAAACAGCACATGCTGCAAGGGTCTAGTGATGGCTAGCAGGGGAAACCTGAGCTTTAGCAGTGAAGCTAGCTAAGCAAACTGCCTCGTCTCTTGGGCATGAGTTGGTCTCTGCAGAACCTGTGGTCTTTGCTCCTCTCCAGAAATGGCTGTAGCTGAATTTGGGGACCCAGCTGTTTGCCCAGCACGTCCCAAGGCTTGCTGTCTGCCTTGGGAGGCTTGGGTGACCAGGGACTCGTGCATTTGGCGCACAGACACGAGCTTTTTGCTAACCAACAGCATGTAGCCAGCTGAGCGAACCCTTCCCTGCAGTAGTACAGAGCTGGCCCCGCATAAGGCTGGCTTTTGTCTCCTCCCTTTGCCAGACTTGGCTTTGGTATCAGTCCACTGTACCATGGACTCAAGAATGTAATTTACAGTAACTCTGACTTTGTTTCTTCTTCCCTAGCAACTTCTCTCCCTACAGGGCATTTTCTTCACCTTCCCTGGGAAGCAGCCTGCTTTCCTAGAGGAAGCTGTGAGCCATTTTCAGTACTGAGGAACACCCCGTTTTCAGAGCTTACGTAGCAAATATTCTAACATTGTTCTGAGGGAAGTTCTCAAAATATAGGGAGGCTGGGATATTAATTTATTTGTGATTAGCTAAAAAGCTTGTGTGGTAGCATTTTTTAATAATTATTTTAGGCTTGTGACACTATTTGTTCTGAAATGAAGTGCCATATTCTAAAGAGTTAACATCTTAAAGGCATGGTAGCGAGACAGCTAAAACACTGACCGGTTTCCTTTGTGGTTGTGTAAGTGTAATAATCAGTGTTTGCCTCAGCATTGTTAAAAGTAACGGATGGAAAATTTAATTTTACATTTTCCAGTAACCTTCTGATGAGTAAATCTACAAGTTGTTGGGTTTTTGTCAAACTTCTCCCACTTTTTAAATTGTTTCTGGCCATTCAGAAAATAAAGAATGTGTTCATTTGTGACTGGCTTGAATGTGTTCACTTGTTACTGGCTTGTCTTTCTCTCCCCCCCGCCCCCCCCTTTTTTTTTAATTTAAAAACATTAATGAAAAAATTGCTTGTGGGCTGCTGGTATACGGAAGTGCATGCACTGGCAGGCCTTACCTTTTCCTAAAGCTTTTGAGAGGACGAAGACAAGTAGGTAGGACTAAATTCCTTTTAATGTGATGGAGGGAGGGTTGAAGCCCATTGCCACCTTCCCACAGCGTCCCAGCCTTTCAGGCGCGATGAAGGAATTGAAGCTGGGCCACTGTGCGTTAAAGCAGCGCTGGGCAGGAAAGACTGCAAAAGCACGCATTTTGTAGCAAAGGCAATGCTGGGGCACAGCTCCTGCCCCTCACTGTTTAATCATTAGATGAAGATCACACCGGCAGCCTCAGTGCAGGAACAGCAGTGGAGGAAGACGGACCTCAAGCCTGGCCTCCCAATTACAAGGTTAACCTGGATGCAGTGAATCTGGCCTGGCAGCCCTCATAACTCACCAGCTTTCTCTTCCAAGAGCCACTGTCGCCGTGCCCCAGCAGTTTTGGCATGCCAGAAATCGAACTGCAGGTATCTATCTGAGACAACTGTCACAAGCAACAAGGAAGGGTCTAGCTAGCACAGATGGTGCCAGTCTTTATTTTAGACTTAACTGTCTTAATGCATTGCTGTATTTAATTAAGCTTCATCTTATGTGTGGATTGAGGATTCTTTTATCTTCTCACAGGTGCAGTATTAGTAGAAGGTGGCAATATTAGTAGAAGATAGCATTTATGATGCAGCTGTTGAGGAAACAGAGTCTGGGTTATGGATGCTTCCCATCCAGGTTCAGTAAAGAATATTTGGCCTAGATTCTGCCAGATGTAAATCCACTGAAATGATTAGACAAATTGGAGAGCCTGGGCCTTTTGTTGCTCCCTAATTTAATGCTTTGCTAAAATAGAATTAAAAAAATATATAATAAAGATGTTATTAAATGTCTTCATCAGAAGCACCGCTGTATTTTGAATCTATGCAATGGCCATTGCAATTACCAGTAATCTCTACCTGAGTATAAAATGATAAAACGTTCTACATATCAAAACTAATGCAGTTCTCTTTAAAACACAAACAAACATTAACTAACAGCAACGTGAAGGTAGCCTATTTTTACATCAACCTGTAGCATGCAGTAGTTATGAACATTTCATCCCCACATTAAGAAAATGGCCATTCCCTTTCCTTGCTCTATTTTTTTAATTATTATGTCTTTTTACATAATAATAGGTTGTAAAAGGGATCAAAGCTGAGCTCTGTGTATCACACCAGTTTGCCTAACAGCTACAATTAAAATAATCTTCAGCACTAAGTAGAAGGAAGGAAAAAGTAGGGCAAGGCTCCCCCCCCAAAATCAGAAGTGGCTGTCCAGTCGTGCTTACAATGTATTATCACTTCTAGAATGACCAACGAAGGAGTAGAAGAGTGAGGACTCAATACAAATTCTAATAAAGATTCAGAATTTCTCATTTTATTGCATTCGTTGTCTAACAACAATAATACTCATTGGCAGGAAATTTATTTACACTAACAAATTAACTTCAAACCACAAGGCTTTTGTTGTTTGTATTTAAACTGTAATAAAACAAAGGGCCATCATTTTTTTTTTATTTTAATGCCTCCAAATAACTAGATATTAAAGAATGTTGTTTTCTGGGAAAACTCAACAGTCTAGAGAAGTTCATATTAACCAAGCACAAGAGAACAAGCTCAGACATGGCACTACTGTGTCTTCCATGCAGATGATTAGACACCAAGATGTACAAACAAAAACTTCAGGATAACATGCATTTCATATACATTTGACCTCTTTAAAAAAAAAAAAAGAAGCACAACGACCTCTTCCTATCATATAAAAAGAAACAAGGTAAGAAGCCAATTTTTACAGTGAGCACAGTGCAGTTTAGTCTTTTAGCTGCCTGGTCTTCTAGCAATATGTGTAACTGTAACATTTCTCAGTTACCAGTGAGTTACCATTGCAACATGACTAGAAAATACATATGCAGTAGTTAAGACGGCAAATGCATAAGGGAAAGTATATATAGTTAGAAGAGGGTCACTGTGCATTCCCCATTTTAGAGTGGTCTGTTTATTCCTTACAGTAGGTGCCCTGTGATCCCTGTTTCCTTTGGACTCTCCTTTGCTGGGGCCTGAGCCTGCCTCCACTGGTGTCATGGACACCGATGTTACCAGACCAAGGCTTCTTGGTTATTCAGCTCGGACTGATCTCCTGGGCTGCTGGCCCTCCTCATCTCATTGCCCCAGTCTGGAAAAAAACCCTTCCCAACACAGAAAATCAGGTTTCATAAATGAAACGATTAGTTCCCAAGAGTCCAAACTTCTAAAGAAAGGGGCAGCACCCACTATTAAAACCAAACCTTTCACTAGGACACACCTTGTGAGCATTACCTAATGCCTACAGCAAAAGTATGAGTCCCACTACCAGTTAGTGACAGAAAACACATTTTTTGAAGAGGGATTAGAGGGCTCAATATCCTACCTGTGGTGTCACAGCTCTGAAAAAAAAAATTGCAACAGTTTTATAGGTGGAAAAAATAGAATAAAATACCTGCAGGAGGTTAACCAAAACGCCTGTGCAACCTGCAAATGACCTTCAGTCAAATGCGATCACTGGGTAGGTCACTTCCAACATCACTTACAAGCCTGCTCAATAATGAGCTGCTCATAAAAACTCCAACAGAAATCAAAGTTAGGTTTACAAAATATATAAAGAAAATTTTCCTAAAATACTAACATTCTCATAAATCAATCCTGCAAAAAAAAAAAAAAAAAGAGGACAACATGCAGAAAGACATACAGAGGACAATTCTGTATATGGTTTTAACAAAAATTTAAAATCTTGTGATCTAAAATACATAGAACATCATTACAAGGAAACGGTGAGTTAAGCTATCAGCACAGCTAAGGGGGAGCACACTGGCGAGATCAATTGCTAGCTTAGCTCTTTTGAGTTCCCTGATGGTATCTGGACCCTTTGATGTGTAGATTATGTGCCTACAGCCCTGTAACTCACAGTTACCTACATACGCACTGCTACTAATCTCAGTGTAAATCTTATGAAAAGCTGTGTATGTACATAGGTATGTACACACACAAACCCATACGTATTTATTTAAAGAAGAAGCAAGCCACAAACCCCATCACTTAAACGTTTTCCTTTCTAGAAAGACTGATTTCGTTATTCTCAATCATTAATTTAACAAAACTAAACCAAAAACATCTAACTGCTTTGTGCACTTTGCCCGTTTCAACTGCCTAAAATTTATAAGTTAATCAAACATGTGCCTACTTTTTTCAAACATCTATTTCTTTCAGTGTTTTGGACCACAGCACAGTTTTCCTGAGGTTTTAAAGTGAGGGAGAGCATGGAATGAGGGAAGTGCTCCTAAAAGGGTCCAGCCCCTCTATCGCTTAGTTTGATGATATTGCAGGGCAAGAAGCCTCACCTAAGAAGAACAACAACATGTTTCGCTTTCTCTTTGACAGGACAATATTCTCGCTCTGTAAATACACTACTAAGAAAATTAAGACATGACTTTATTCTTGCAAACCTTCCTTTAACTCCAGCTATAACAAACAGTACAGACTGCATTATGGATTTTTAAAGAAAGAACTACAGCTGAATATGTGCAAGTTTTTCCTTCTGATTTTGAGTGTGGTGAGGGTACCCAGAATGGTACTTGTTGGTCGTACACACAGTTAATGATTAGCCTTCTCCTTCTTACAGTAGGGCTGGATTCTGCACTACAGACAACAGTGGGATTTCTTTCACTCACTTTAAGTGGAAACCAATTCATCCTCAAATATCAGTACACAACATTGCCCACCTCCTACTCAACAGCATGTGGGCCAGGAGGTGAAGGTGGAGCAGCTTCAAGAGGTGGCAGTTGCTTTGATGAGCTGACGTATAGGATCCCATGTTGCTCAGGGTCAAGCACCTCTGACTATCAGGGAGAGTCAAGGACTGGCAAGCTGCCAAGGAAGGCTGGGCAGTAAGTCTAGTAAAAACTCGATTCTTTTTGCATACCTGAAGCAGATGAGAATCATAGCACAACAGCTGCCTTTTCAAAAAAAAAAAAACAACTAACAAACAAAAACAGCAAAAACATTCGTGTACACTGACATACAAACATCATCTAGCTCTGTTCAGCTTTATTGTTATTATGGGCTTTTGCTCCACTGTTTGATTCTAACCTATGATCTAGAACAGGCTCTGCTTACAATGACTCCCACCAGACCTGCTCAGACGGGTGGGTGAAATGCAAGCACCAGTGAGCAACACTACCGTGCACTGCACAGAGCAGGTTGGGCTCCTACTCCCCGGTCCCGATCTGCCCATGCAGACTGAAACCTCATTAGAAGCTTTAATGCTCATGCTGCATGCCTGCAGGCAACCACCCACAGGGAACTGCTCAGTGGAAGTGAATAATGCCAGGATGTTTGGCAGATTTGGACAGAGCAAAGAGCCACCACTCACTCCAGAATCTCAATGCAAATACTAGCTTTTTTAGGACTAAAGAAACCAGCAATGTTGCACCTCTTATTTTCTATTCTTTCAAAGTCCCATTTCTTATTAACTCTCCTTTCTTCACTGCAGCTCATCTCTTCACCCTGTCTTGAGCTAGATATATGCACGTACACATGGCAGTAACGCAACAATATGAGCAGAACCACAATTTACAGAAGTGGCTACCAACTGTAATGGGGAAAGTCAGCACTGACAGCAGCGAGGATCACAGAGGTGCACAGCTAGCACAGAGGCATAGCTAGAAGAGCAGAAACACCAAACTGCCTGGACTGAGGTTTAAGGGTAGCTAGACCAGTCAGCATACGCAAAACTGCTTTAACCCCAAAAATAAAGATGCAGAAGTAGCTTGCAGTTACATTTGCAGGTGAGCCGAAAATCTTTCCAGTCATTTACCATGGGATG